CGGCGCTGCGCTGCTCGGCGGCGCCCACGGAGAGCGCGTGCGGGCCTGGGAAGCCCACGCTGGTTTGCTCGAGCGCGGTGGGGAGCTGGTCGTACTCGCAGCAGAGAGGGCAGAGGGTGTGCTCTGGGGCAGCTCGGCCGAAGACGGACCTCATGGCCTTCAGCCCTGGCGTTTCTCCTGGTTCGGGTTCTGGAGATGGTCAAGTACAGCAGCAGATTTTTGAGAATGTAAGTACTGTAATCTTGGGACATAGTCCACGGCTGTTACTGCGACTCCCCTAGTTGTTCATCCATTTTAAATTTTAATTGCATTGGATTGTTTTTGCCCTTATCTTGATATGGTTCATTGAAAGTGTGGTCATTTTTGTCACTTTTCATTGCAGTCACCCAGGATATTCTTTAGTTGCTAAACATAATAGCAATGGTAATAATGTAGTACAATGATTGAAGCTTCATCTAAATAAAGTTATTTCTGCTAGGTTGCCAGATCATAATGGGCCATCTAGAAAGTGGGCAGGATTCAAATCTTCTCAATTTTGCAACACGTTTATTCTTCCTATTTTTATTCTAATTAATGCCTTTCACTCATTATGTTTATGTATTCAAAATTATCACAATATTTAATTTTATAATTTAAAGTTAAGTATCTTTAAATTATTCACTTTGTGTAATATATATTGTCTGTCACTAATTAAGATGAGCATAGTTGAATCAGCTTTATTTTATATATTTTTATTTCTGTATAATCAGTTAGATACTTTTTTTGAGATGATGGTTGGAGTAGTTTTAGCTTCCCCTTTGGAAAGAATTTTAGTTTTTCCCATTAATTCTCTATTTTCCAGCTCATTTTCTTCATAGTCCCCAAGTGTTCAGATAGGTAATTTAAAAAAATTTCCTAGAATGATGTAGTTCTGCTTTATTGTTCACTGCTCACCTTGCTGTTCTCTTCCAGTTTAATTTATTAAGCTTTTCTGCTTATTAGGAAGACTTACTTGAGCCTGGATCATATCCATTTTCTTTCCATTCTTAGTACCTGTCATGAGGCTGTAGGGAAATGATTTAGGGTAGGAATATTCATATTTATTTCTGCTTTGAATTTAAGGATGTCTTCCCATGTCTGTTGCTGGGTGATACCACAGTATTGCCTGTGTTTACCAACCTTCATAATCTTCAGAATGACATTAGTTGAAATAACTTAAACATGAGAACCATGAAATATCAAAAAAGGCATTTCCAGTTGACTATCATAGTGTTGATCACACTTCAAGTGTATGCTCATTTGATATAAAATATTTTTATCTTAACACTATGTTCATCTGCATTATTTTCTTTAAAAGAATCCCGGAGAATTTGTATTTAGCTGTAAGGATGTCAAATAATGTGGAAATTAATTTTGTCCTACTGGGACACAATTAAAATGCCCTTAAATTCTACTACATGAGGAAGTACATTATGTACAATGTATTTGCCTACGAGTGAAGAAACATGTGATAGATAGGGTAAGTCAATAGAAATACTGATGTGTTAGTGAATGTTTTCTACCTTGAAAGATAAATTTTGGCAGAATGCTTTTCATGAAGATGAAGACTAGGGAAAATTCAGAAAAGGGGTAAACATGACCAATGCTCTCATTTACAGTCTTGGAATCTCTTCATCTGTAACCATAGAACAAGAGCAAATATTGGTTATTGTATAATAAGCAACCATATTATGAGCTGTTCCTATGTGTTAGGCATGGCATGAAGGGCATATGATTATTAGTTTATTTAATCTTAAAATGATTTTTAAAATGCTATACATATAATAAGTTGATATCTTTATCTTTCTTGTCCAGTGCCATTAAATTTATACATGAATGAGATGATCTTCAAAGTATATCTTTCAGAATACTGATCCATTTAAAAAATTCATTGCAGTATAGAACTTTCTTCCATAAATCTTTTCTCTGTTCAAGCATAGTTCTGGCTATGAAAATCAAGTACAAGGTATGCACAGTTGAAAGCTTTTATTTTGCTTAAAATTTATGATTATATTAATCATTAGTTTTGGATAATATCATAATTAAGATGGGCATTAAGACCTTGATATTGAATGTTTTTCTTTACTCAGGAGAGATTATGATTGTCATTGCTTGTTTTAATCAATACACTTTGAGACAGGCATTACTTTTTCAATCAGTGAATTAGAGTTGCCTTATAATAGATGAGTTGTTTGGAAGTGAAATAAGGAAGAATTGTTTAACACATGAGGAAAATCATAAGTCTCATTTCTAATATTTTTGCAGAACTCCAAAGTCAAATGCCACATGCAAAAATGAACATGTATTTTCTCCACTGTGAAAAAGAAGGATAGTTTTGGCAAGTATAAGTGATAATAATGATTTCAGGAATCCTAAATATGATCACAGAATTCAAGAAATGTTTTCAACACTGTACACTTTATAATAGCCTTAAAGGTATTCCATGACAATCTTTAGATGTCTGTGGGTCTTTCTGTATTCAGCTCTGACTCTTATTGCTGTTTTAGAGGATTATACCAATTGCACAAGTGATGTGGGGCCAAATAGCTGTGTTTATCTGAATAAGTCATGATTGAGCAGGGTCAGCATCATTGAGGAAAACTTAATAATTTCGTGCATAAAGTGGGATGGATAGTGAACTTCTAGGTTGACTTTGAAGAACTTCTTTGAGATTATGAGAATGGTTTGCAATTAACTTCTGTGTTGTTATGTTTTGAAAAATAATAGTATTACACTTAGATGGAATATTGGATGATGTGGACTAATAGACCATAAAACTGTACTCCACTATATTGACTAGCAGCACACACAGGTGGGACTTAAGGCTAAGTAGCTTAAATTAGTGAAGGTCAAGCAGCAAGTTCCTTACTCTTTAATTAAAAAAATCAATGTTAACAATGATACTTTTATGATTTTTTGGCATTAGTTTACAGCCAGATGTTAAGCCCATCCCCAAAGATAAGTTCAAAGAGAGCATGTTTTTTTTGAAGTGGTTTAAATGGGTGACACCTGAAATACCACAGCCAAAATGCAAAAGATGGGTCATTGATTCACACACCATATCAAACTTTTTGTGACTTGGTGTTCACCCAGTGTAACCTATATATTTACAAACTACTGTATTATTGGAATTCAACACCTGGTTTTAATTAAAACATGTGATACCATCTCTACACAGTAAAATTTCTCATATTATTTTCCCTACCTTGGAAGACTCCACTTTGTTTGAAACATCTCATTCTGCAATTCCCATAATAGGGGTTAGAGGTCTGTTGCTTCCTTTTATTCAAAATAAATTTGACATGTTTTAAATATTTTAATTTAAATATACTCTATTACTATCTGGTCTAATGTTATATTTGGATTAAAGTCCCACATGATTGATTATTTTACAGGTGCATCATTGGATTCAGTGTCATAAAAGTTCATTTGTTTGCTTCTTTAATTTTTAACACAGAAATTTGCATTACTTTAATAAGAATTCTAATGATATAACAATGTTGGAAAAGTGTAAAGTTGAGAAAAAGCAGGATAAAATCTCAAGTTAGCATAGACTACATGGATAGTTATAAAGTCAAGATCAAGAAAGATATTAAGAGAGACATATGGTGATAATTTTTTTCACATGCCATTACAATATTTATAAATTGGAGATGACTGAGGTAGAAACACAGCCCAGAAATTGGAGGACAGCCTGGTTGAGCCCTTGTCTCTTGAAACAAAAAGAACTTGTGTATAACAACATTCAAGCTAGATTGATCTGTATTTTGAGTCACTTTCTATTTTATACTTTTGTTGCATCCATTTTTCCTCCTAAATCTTATGTGAATATTAAAAAAGTACTAAAAATACCACTTCAGGCAATGAAAATGCATATCAACAATCCCCATTTTCCACTTAATATTCTTTGAAATGCCACTTCGTAACACTAAGGCTATCTGCCATTAAACCGAATTGCTTATTTTCTATGTTTTAAGCTTATTGTGAGGCACTTACCGAAGATATAATGAAAAGTTACACCCTTTGTTTTGGACAATCTTATGATCACAAGACCCCCCAGACCATTTTCATGAATATATTGATTGGATTAGGAAAACTAGCATTTTTGATTTACAAATATCAAAATGGTACAGAGATTTTTGTGGGTAATTTTATTTCATTGAATGATAGTAAGATTCACTCCATACTTGAAAAGACTACTGTTGTATCATTGACTCCATTATATAAAGTATCATTTTGATATCACATAATATTAGCAAGACAACTTGTGTGAGAAATTGTGCATATCAAATACAAAATTCATCAATAGACTTTTTCTTTGTGAATTCTGTTTTAAACCATCATTTTGGAAATACATTAGTTGTTTTCCTAATTATGTTCCTATTGTTCTGCAGTGGCTACAAAAATCACCATAACAAAAATGGTGTAAATAATAATAAAGAATCAGAACTGAAGAAAATAGATACGATATAGTTTACAATAATGTATTACAATAAGACTAGAAGAGAAGATTTTGAATGTTTCTTCCCCCCAAAATGAATGTTTCAAGTGATGGAAATACTAATTACCATGATTTGATCATAACTCAATATATATTTGCATTAAGACATTGAATCATATTCCACAAATCTGTACAAGTATTGCATATCAATTTAAAAAATTAAAGTATAAGAAGGAAAATCCACATATATAAGAGCATAGTATGCAGAACATAAAGACTGAAGGGCTGTTATTAAACTTCAATTTTAAAATTTTCTTTGAGGAATGGGGGTGTAGCTCAGTGAGTACAGTATTCACCTAACATGGGCAAGACCTCGGGCTCTGCAAATAACCCTGTCTTCAGCGCTGCAAAAAATAGTTTTTTATTTGAGTTTCCTAGCAGCCCAAGTAACAAAGGAAACTGGAAGCAAAACAGTTCAAGCTTATAATATTTTCATATGAAGAACAATACAATTAAAAAGTGTTTAAGCCTAGTTTTCATAAGGCCAAAAAGTGTTATTCTCTCTGAAAAGAATAATTTATAACTGTAAATAAAAATAGAAACAAGAATTTAAATTTGATGAGTCAAGATATAAAATGTAATTTCCACATTTATTAGGTTTTACTATGACTTAAAATAAATGTTCCATAAATAAGCATTTTGAAAATATTTAGGGAAAAGTAACGTAAAACGTGAAATTGTGTGGTGCATGAATGTAACGCACAGTACTCACAATTTCAGGCACAAGGTGTCGCTCTTTACTTAACGGAAAGAGTTGATCCGTAGGTTGGTCTGAACAGTCAGGCACGCCTCATACAAAAAGCCTCCATCATACCGGATGCCACTGTTAAAGGATCCTTCGAAACTTCTCAAAATTCAGCGAGATTTTAACTTGAGGGGAAGTATCTGGTTTGGTAAGTGCAAAGAATCTTATATTGGAAGGCAATTTCATATGCAATGCTCGCCCTTCACAGAAGAGGGTTGAACACTCTGCGACTACTGCTCTCCTTTCTGCTCGTCGCAGCCTGGGGGACCGGGAGCGGCCAGCTCCACTACTCCGTCCCCGAGGAGGCCAAACACGGCACCTTCGTGGGCCGCATCGCGCAGGACCTGGGGCTGGAGCTGGCGGAGCTGGTGCCGCGCCTGTTCCGGGTGGCGTCCAAGGAGCGCGGGGACCTTCTGGAGGTAAATCTGCAGAATGGCATTTTGTTTGTGAATTCTCGGGTCGACCGGGAGGAGCTGTGTGGGCGGAGCGCGGAGTGCAGCATCCACCTGGAGGTGATCGTGGACAGACCGCTGCAGGTTTTCCACGTGGAGGTGGAGGTGAAGGACATTAATGATAACTCTCCCTTGTTCTCTCCCAAAGAACAAAGGCTGCTGGTTTCTGAATCTAAACAACTAGACTCGCGTTTTCCGCTAGAGGGCGCTTTTGATGCGGATATAGGAGAGAATGCTGTATTGACCTACAGACTAAGCCAAAACGAGTATTTTTCTCTAGAATCACCAGTAAGTAGTAGGCCAACTAAAAGACTGTCACTTATATTAAAGAAATCTCTAGACAGAGAAAAAACTCCAGAATTTAAAATGATATTGACGGCTGCAGACGGCGGGAAACCGGAACTCACTGGCACAGTTCAGCTGTTGGTCCGAGTCTTGGATGTTAACGACAATGATCCGGAGTTTGATAAATTAGAATACAAAGTAAGACTGGTGGAAAACGCTGTTAAAGAAACTCTTGTGATAAAGTTAAATGCCACAGATCGAGATGAAGGCGTAAATGGGGAGGTAACATACTCCTTGAAGTCAATTAAGCCCAATGGAAGATCCTTCTTTACATTAGATAAAAATAATGGAGAACTGAGGGTCAATGGAACTTTAGATTATGAAGAAAACAAGTTTTATGAAATTGAAGTGCAGGCCACAGATAAGGGGACTCCCCCAATGGCAGGTCACTGTACAGTGTGGGTGGAAATCTTAGACATCAACGATAACTCACCTGAAGTGACTATAACTTCCTTGTCCCTCCCCGTACGTGAAGACGTTGAACCAAGCACTGTCATTGCATTGATTAGTGTATCGGACCTCGATTCTGGTGTCAACGGACAGGTCACCTGCTCGTTGACGTCCAACGTTCCTTTCAAGATCGTGTCCACCTTTAAAAACTATTATTCCCTGGTGCTGGACAGCGCCCTGGACCGGGAGAGCGCCTCTGACTACGAGGTGGTGGTGACAGCCAGGGACGGGGGCTCGCCCTCGCTGTGGGTCACGGCCACCGTGTCCGTGGAGGTGGCCGACGTGAACGACAACGCGCCGGTGTTCGCGCAGGCCGAGTACACGGTGTTCGTGAAGGAGAACAACCCGCCGGGCTCCCCCATCTTGACGGTGTACGCACGCGACGCGGACGCGCAGGAGAACGCGCGCGTGTCCTACTCGCTGGTGGAGCGGCGGGT